GACATGAAAACTACAAAGAAGATCATAGCCAAATCCAGGTTAAAAGATACTGCAGGCAGCCAGAAAAAAAAGAATTCAAGTATTGAAGAGCCACAATGAGAGTCATACACAACTTAGCAGCCAATCCTCTAAAAGAACAAAGAATTTGGAATACAATATTCCAGAAGGTAAAAGATATAGGTATATAGTCAAGAATAGCTTACTTAGTCAAACTTAGTATAATCTTATGGGAGAAAAATAGACTTTTATTTAAATAGAAGATTTCCAAGTATTCCTGATGAAAAGACCAGAGTTAGATAGAATGCTTGAAGTGCAAACATTGGAGTCAAGAGAAACCTAAAAAGATAAATATGAGTAATCATGAAGTACTAAACCAAGGTAAACTGCTTATGTTCTAATATATGAACATGATAATATGTCCTCTTTATACACACTTATATGCATATACATATATTATGTACATGTATAGTTCTAAGTGTGTGCATATATATATATACATATATATGTATATATATATATATATGTATATATATATACACACACATATGTATCTTGGTATGATGCTACATGCCTTTTTATTGTTAGTGACATTTTTTGTGCTTGAATTCTAGTAAACATTTTTTATAATGTGTATGTCAGTGCTAATGGAATGAAGAATATGAATAAGCAAACACAGTCTCATTTTGAGAAAAACCTGACAGTTTAGCTATATTTCAAATCAAGCTTAAGATGTTTCAAAACTGGTTTTTTGTTGTTTTAAGGTAGTTTTCTAACTAACTCTTTCTAGGGCTACTGGGTCTTTTTTGGATCTTGCCTTTTCATTTTGCTCATAGTAGCAAACATCTGTTTCCCTGCTTCCTATAAAATCCCAGCTAAAATTTCACCTTCTACAAGAGGCTTTTTCTGATCCCCTACACATTAGTGCCTTGTGCCTATTGACCATCTCCTATTTATCCTGTATATATCTTGTTTGTAAATAGCTGTTTGCTTGTTGTCTTCCCTAGTGATACTAGGGACTATTTTTTGCTTTTCTTTGTATCCCCAGTGTTTAGCACAATGCCTGGCACATGGTAGGTGCCTATTAAATACTTGTTGTCTGGCTGATTTGATAGCCTAATTATTTTCTTAAATAATTATTTATTTTAACATTCTTTTCTTTCTAAATTTTGAGTTACAAATTCTCTTCCTCCCTCCTACCCCTTTCCCCACCCACTGAGAAGACAAGCAATGTGATATCAACTATACATGTGAAATCATGCAAAACATATTTCCATATTAGCCATATTTCCAAAAAAAAGCAAGAAAAATAAAATAAGAAAATTATACTTCAATTTACACTCAGAGTTCATCAGTTTTTTCTGGAGGTAGATAGCACTTTTTCATCATGAATCCTTTGTCTTGGATTATTGTATTGATCAGAGTACTCAAATCTTTCACAGCTGATCATCATTACAACATTGCTGTTACTGTGCACCATGATCTCCCTGTTCTTCACATTTCACTTTGCATCAGTTCATATAGGTCTTGCCATGTTTATCCGAGCACACCTTTTGTAATTTCTTATAACACAATATTCCATCACAATCATATGCCACAACTTGTTCTCCCATTCCCCAATTGATGGGTATCCCCTCAATTCCCAATTCTTTGTCACCACGAAGAGTTGCTATAAATGTATTTGTACACATAGCTCATTTTTATTTTTCTTTGATTTCTCTGGGACACAGACCTAGTAGTGGTATTGCTGAGTGAATGAGCAAGCAAGGTTTTATAGTCCTTTGGGCATAGTTTCAAATTGTTTTCCACAATGGTTGGACCAGTTCATGGCTCCACCAACAGTTGATTAGTGTACCTATTTTTCTCTCATCCCCTCTAGCATATCTGATAGGGGTAAGGTGGTACACATACATGCACACATACATGTATACATACATACATACATGTGCATGTATTTCCCCCTCCATTGTAAAAGCTCTTCCTTGTGCATCTCTTTTATGTGAAAATTTTTTCCTCATTCTACCTGTCCCTTTCCCCTTCTCCCAGTGCATCCTTTTTTCCCCCCACTCCATTTTTTGGGAGATCATTCTAATATAATCAACTCACACCCTTACCCTCTGTCTACGTACACTCCTTTTAACTGCTCTAATAATGATGAAGTTCTTAGGAGTTATATCCATCATCTTCCCATAGGAATGTAAACAGTTTAACTTTATTGGGTCCTTTATGATTACTCTTTCATTTTTATCTTTCCATCCTTCCCTTGAGTCTTCTGTTTGAATGCCAAATTTTCTATTCAGCTCTGGTCTTTTCATCAGGAAAGCTTGAAATTGCTTTATTTCATTAAATATCCATTTCCCCCTCAAGGATTACACTCAGTTTTGCTAGGTAGGTTATTCTTTGTTGTAATCATTGCTCTTTTGCCTTCCAGAATTATCATATTTCAAATCATTTACTATGCAAGCCACTAAATCTTGTGTGATCCTGACTATGGCTCCACTATGTTGAATTGTTTTTTTTCTGGCTGCTTTGACCTGGAAGCTCTAGAATTTTGTTATAATATTGCTGGGAGTTTTCATTTTGGGAACTTTTTCAGGAGGTGATCAGTGGATTCTTTCCATTTCTATTTTTCCCTCTAGATCTAAGATGTAGAGGACAGTCTTCCTTGATAATTTCTCCAAATATGATGTCTACACTCTTTCTTTGTCATGATTTTCAAGTAGTCCAATAATTCTTAAATCATCTCTCTTCATTCTAGATTTCCTGTCAATTGTTTTTCCAATAAGATACTTCACATTTTCTTCTATTTTTCCTGCTTTTGACTTTGTTTTATTGTTTCTTGATGTCTCATGGAGTCATAAGCTTCTACTTGCCCAATTCTCATTTTTAAGGATTTATTTTCTTCAGTGAGATTTTGTTTGTACCTCTTCTTCTATTTGGTCAATTATGCTTTTTTAAGGAGCTCTCTTCTTCAGTGAATTTTTGTACCTCCTTTTCATTTGACCTATTCTGATTTTTAAGAAATACTTTTCTTCAATTAATTTTGTGCCTCTTTTACCATTAGGTCAATTCTATTTTTAAGGTGTTATTTTCTTCAGTATTTTTTGTGCCTTGTTTACCAAGCTTAAACAATAAACCAAGTGGAATCATATTCACCACATTGCTTAGTCAATTATGTGCTGTGATGATATGGTCTTCTGTAGGAAATCAGGTACAAAAGTCAGCTGTTCCATTCTCAGGTTTTCATCCAAGATACCCTTGACACCTGTCTAGATCATTCTCATATAAAGATTTTATGGAGATAAGGTGGGCATATTGTGTGGGAGTTACTGAAGTCCTCTTGATCACTTTTTTGGGTGCAAATGCCATCTATATTTTTCCCCAGTCCTATCTTTTAGATATGATGAAGGTTGATCCCTTAATGCTTTCAAAACTGTGTCAACTCCAGAACAGATTTATGCTACATGTACTTGGTCTGGTCCAGTTGCTTTCTCTGATTCCATCTTTTCAAGTCCTATTTTAATATCTTCATATTGTGCATCAGAAGCCACAGTGAGACCATATATGGTAGTTTCATAGTCGCAGATGATGAAACTAGGTCCACATAGAGCAAGAAGTCTTGGAGTCCATGGATTGACCTAGGGATAGATTCTAAGGGTTCTATGAACTTGGATGGGGAAAAACATTACATATTTTTTCCCTCTAACCTCTAGCTGAAATTTGGCATTTCCTTCATTTATTTAACACTATTCAGCTAAGGGGTCCACAGGCTTCACCGTTCTGCCAAAGGAGTCTGGGACATGCAAAAAGGTCAAGAACTCTTCAGTCTGTTGTTGGTTTTCTCATCCTTGTTTCACCCCTAAGGTTTCTTGCAATAACCTGTTTTAGGTAAACCTCAAGCCCAAGCTGTTTCATCTCACAATGTTCCTCATAACCTTCCACCAACATCCTCTGTGATAAGGATGATTCCAGATAAGTTTTGATTTTAACATGATATTGTTCTTGATTGTCGTTTCTCTCCCCTTAGCTAGGATTTCCCATGGTCTTTTGACCTCCTCATGTGGGCAATTGCTTTCAGCTGGTTAAACATCCAGAGAAAATAGTGGTAGTCTAAGCCAACGTTTTTACATTTTTCTCTAGCGTTTCAATAGATTGACTGCACAAAGGTAGCTAATTCAGAAATGACTCCAACATTGATAATCAATTATTTCCTGACCATTAAGCTATAGTCTTTTTTGCTTCTTTTGTAATGTTAAGTGATAAAATATAATTTTCACTTTTCATGCTGTGTGTTATCTCCCCTATTTGCCTTTCCTTATAAGGTGCACTTGGCAGCTAGGTTGTGCTGGATACAGCGTGTGTGTGTGTGTGTGTGTGTGTGTGTGTGTGTGTGTGTGTAGATAGAGCACTGGACTTAGTGTCAGAAAGACCTGAATTCAAATCCAGACTATTTATTAGCTGTGTGATCCTAGGCAAACTGATTGCCTCAGTTTCCTCCTCTCCAGAATGGGGATAATAAAAGCACCTAGCTGCCAGGGTTGTTGTGAGGATCAAATGAGATAGTATTTGTAAAGAATTTTACAAAACGTAAAGCACTCTATAAATGCTAATTAATAGTTACTATTTTCCTTCCATTTAATGGCAACTCCCTCATATCACCTGGCTTCATTTATCATGAGAATATCAGCATTTATTTAGTTTGGTTCCTCCATAACTACTTATTGATTATTGGCTGAAGATCTTCCATTTAGAGGACCAGAATTCAAATTAACATTTATAGAAGGTCTAACAATTATGATTGTGCTCTGCTTACACCATCCTTGCAAAAAAGGGGGAGCATAAGACCAAGGTCATAATGGATTTTCATCTCCAAAAATTGTCCTATTTTTGTTGGAAAAATGGTTTCTCTCTGGGATCAGGCTTTGCTATTGCTTTTATTTGACACATGCCAAATGGAAGCCTAAGAATCTTCTGGCTGTGAACTTTTTGATCTTGTATTGTAGACTAACAATAAATCCCTGTGGAAGATTTCGCCAGATGAAGGCATAGTTCCTCCAGAACGTGAAGTTCTCCTGACGGTGACTGCCAACTTGGACGACATGCTGCCCTTCAAAGATGTGATCATTTTGTCCATTCAGTACAGCAATAGCTACCAGATTCCTGTTGAAGCTGTGGGGAAGGGCACCACAATTGTTTCTGACAAGGCTTTTGCTCCAGAACTCAACTTGGGGGCCCACTTCAGGTAGGGAACTTTAAAGGGTCAAGCCTTGTAGCTAGTTTTATTTCATTTTTATGGATATCTTTTGTTTGTAAATCACCTAGATTTCCCTCTTTCCCCTCCCTCTCCAAGAGATCCATTCCTTATACGAAAAAAATTTTTTGAAGAAAGAAGAAAGGAAGAAGAGAAAAAAATTCAAAACTGATCCAGAGTCCAAAAGTCTAACATAATACAGCATTAGATGCTCAAAGGCATTTGTTGAGGTGGCATTGTAATAGTAATAGTAACAAAATATTCTATTCATAACTTGGGGCACACTTTTCCATAATGACATGTTGCCATGTGTGGGAATGCCACAGAGTATGCTAGCAGAGAGGCAAATACTTAGGGAACCTATGTGGCCCAGGAAGCTCATCCCACTAATGGGGTACCCTTATGGTAGTCCCCCTGAGGGCAGCGTATCTGCCAGAAATATTGGTTAACCTGGCTCTTTGGGACTTCAAAGGCCTAGGCTGGCACTCGGACTTAGGTTCCTCAAAGCTGTATCCCACTATGAATGACTGAGTCTCTCTCTCTCTCTCTCTCTCTCTCTCTCTCTCTCTCTCTCTCTCTCTCTCTCTCTCTCTCTCTCTTTCTCTCTCTCTCTCTCTCTGTCCCTATCCACCTGTCTGTCTGTCTCTTTTCCTGTTTCTCTCTCTCTCTGTCTGTCTCTGTCCCTGTCACACTCTGTCTATCTCTGTCTCTTTCTATCTCTTTCTGTCTCTCCTCTGTCTGTTTCTTTCTCTTTGTGTCTCTATCTCTCGCTGTCTCTTCTCTGTTTTTGTGTGTATCTCTCTGTCTCTCTCACTCACCCTCCTTTCTCTGTCATTCTCACACTTGCTCTTTTTACTTTTTTCCTTTAAAAAAAAATCTGAACTCAGCAAACACCAAATAAAATGAGTGTTTCCATAACCATTGTGGAAGAGGAGGAGATCGTGCACAACACTGTGAATCTGTTATATATAGCTTGCTTGTCTTTGTGGGTATACAATAAATTGACTTTATTACAAATTACAACCATACAACATAACTTTCAAAGCTGTCCTGTTTATCTGGGATTCCTTCTGGTTTTTCTTCTGTTCTCTTCTGATTTTATTTTTGGGACTCTATTCTAGTTCTGAATTTACCTCCAATCCCGCCCCTTAATTGAAAAAAAAAAAAGTAAAAACCTTATAATAAATAATAAAAAAAAGTCGAGCAAAACAAATTCCCACATTGGTCATGTCCAAGACCACATGTCCCATTCTGTGCCTTGAGCCGTCCCTTGTCTGTCCAGAGGCAGGCAGCATGGTTCATCATCAGGCCTCTGGAATCATGGCTGGTCATAGCACTTATTAGAGTGCTTAAGTCTTTCAGAGTTATTTTTCTTTACATTATTGTTATACTTATGTAAATGGTTTTCCTGGTTCTATTTGGGAGGTATCTCCTTAACTCTCTTTTCGAGGGCTAAAGCTTGTTCTTTCTAATTTCACTGCATTCAGTTTGGTAAATCTTTGTAATTGTTCATGAGAACAATTATTCATAATTTTATGGCACCTTTAGGTTTTCAGAACATTTTCCCTACAATAAACTTCTAATACAGATAGTGCAAACATCCCTATCTCTGGTTTAGGGATTAAAAAAAACTTGATCAAGATCACACAAATAGAAGAAGAGGAGCAGGGATTTGAACCCAAACCTTTGGGCTTAAATCCCATGTTTGTTCCACTGCAGTATAAGGTGACTGATATTAGCTGATCAGTAATGTCTCTCAGCATTAAAATGCTAGGCTTCCGTGCATCTCTCAATCACCTGCATGTGGATTCCTGTGGCAAATGTTGCCTCCCATGCTGACGTCACCTTTCTACCCAATCTACTTCAGAACTACTTTCCTTTGTATTTAGGATATAAAAATTCATCTTAACGGTAGGCTAAGTAAAGCATAATTATGAAGATAAATGGCTACTGCAGAAATCTAATTAAAAATACTTCCTTGGATTATGTTTCCCTTCTGTTTTCACCCTATAACAGTTTATTCCATCACTGAACTCAAGAGACCCATCCAGGCATGCAATGGCTGGTATCAGAATCTGGCCTCTAATGAGACAGATGAGGCTCATTTTCTCATACTTTTTGGTCCTTTATACCTGTACCCCAGTGCCCTGAAGAAAATTACTTAAACCTCTGGTGAGACTCAGGTCTCCCCAAGAAGGAGGGTAGAGAGGTACTCAGTGTACAATATGAATCAGGTGTGGGACAGCTATTTATTTACTCTGCAATCAATCAACCAAAAAAGTATTTATTAAACTCCTACATGCCAAGCCCTATGCTAAGTGCTAGGGATACAAATGCAAAAAATGAAAAAATCTGTACTCAAAAGGAGTTTATATTTTAATATGGAAGACAAGTGCAAATTATGTGTGTGTGTGTGTGCACATGCATATATTTACATTGTACATTACAAATGTACACATTTACATATATACACATTTACATATATACACATACATTGAGAGAGAATAAAAATGTAAAATTAAAGATACAAATGTATTTTTGCCAAAGGACATTTATTAAGCATTCACCATGGGCAGGCACTGTGCCAAATGCTAGGGATACAAAGAAAGACAAAAGATAATCCCTACCCTCAAAGACTTGCAGTCTAATGGGAAAGACAACATGCAAACAAATATATACAAACAAGCTATACATAGGATAAATTGCAAATGATCAATAGAGGTAATGCATTAGAATTAAGAGGGATTGGGAACACTTCCAGGAGAAGGTGGGATTTTCAAAGTAGATAAATACAAAGTAGTTTGAGGGGGGGAGGGCAGTAGCAGTTGGGGAATAACATTGCTTTATGCAAAAGATAGTTCTTGAGTGCATTTTAAAGGAAGAGAAGGACTCGGTGAGGTGGAGGTAAGGAGATTGTACATTCTAGACACGTGGGATTGCCAGTACTCAGGCTCAAAGACAGGAGATGTGAATGGGAAGTAGTTTGGCTAGCTCACTAATGAGGCTGGAAGGAAGGTTAAGGCCAGGCTGGGGAGGGTGACATAGATTTTCCTGAATTCAATGCCATTTTTCTAGCTATTATACCAGACTGCCTCACAAACCTAAATAGAATCCACAAGTCAACCTCAGGTTTTTATTCTAAAATGAATACAACCTTACAACCTGAGCATGCCATCAGAATTTTGTGTGGAGGGTGGCAGTCAGTCTTGTATGTCCGAGGATACCAGAGAGAGCTGCTGGGTCTAGTTGTCCAGTGACATCTCCATTTCATAACTGAGCCCCTTTCCTTGGTGACAAAAGGCTTGGAGCCCCAATATGGAATCCTTGTTCCCACCCTAAGTGGCTATGCCACTGTGGACAAGTCATTGAGCCTCTGTGTCCTTAGCTGTAAAGTGGGGTTCTTTATACCAGCACTGTCTACTTCACAGGGTTGTTAGAAGGGAAAGTGCTTTGTAAATCTTAAAAGGTAAGCTATGATGAGTTGTTATGGTGCACTGAATTTCCCAGAAGCCCCAACAGAAATGCCACAGATTCAGAAAGCCTTCTCTTAGAAGCTCATGTCACATGGTGAAATTTTGCTAGTTTGCTGTGGGAAAACATTCCAGCTCTCAAACCCTGTTTGGGTGTATTCACATTAAAAATCAATATGCCTGGCAATTGGTGTTTACTCACAAAATGAAATTAATTTCCTTTTGCTTACTTATTTCTCATGTGTGATTCTAGTCCTAGAATAATTAAGAAGGAACAGATGGAAGAAATTCACCCCCAGAGATTAGCATAATAGAAAGAAGAACTGAATAGGTCTATTTATATTTCTTGCTAAAGAAATAAGTTCAAGGAAGTTTCTATCAGCAAAAATCATCAAACCAATTAATCAATAAATATTTATTTAGCACCTGTTAGGCTGCAGGTTGCATTCTAAATTCTCTGGGATATACAAAGAAGATCCCTGACATCAACAAACTTACAAATTGCATTATATTGCTTGGACATGAGTTGTGGAAATAAAACCAGTCCAAATGACCTTCCTCCTGTGACATGTGAACAAGCTTGTCAGAAAGGCAAATGGTCATGATTTTCTTATTTAGGGCCAAATCCCAGTCAGGGTTGTTCAAGATTTATTCAACACAATATGACATAGGATCCTTTCCCAATGAATAATTACTTTTCTCCCCATTAAAAGCTGCATGCGCTTTGAAGACTGAAGGTGGTTTTCTCTGGAGTTCCAGTACTTCTGTTGAAAGAAGATAGAAACTAAAACCAAGGGCACCCCCTTTGGTCATTGCCCTCGGAACCTATTCCTCTGGTTTCTGTCTCAAAGCCAGTAACCCTCTCATACACATCTGGATGGTCTCTGATCGTACCCATCAAAATTTAGCTTCACTTGTAAAAATATGTAATCAGAGCAAAAGAGGGCATTGCACTTGGAATCAGGGCAGGCGCATGTTCAGATCCTATCTCTGAGAAGTACCAGCAGTACGACCATGGGCAAGTCACTCAGCTTCTTTGACACTCAGTTTACTCATCTGTGAAATGGGGGTCATAATACCTGCTCCCTGTCAGGATTAAATCAGATATATTGCATATAAAGCATTTTGCAAACTTGTAATTGCTTATAAGTGTCCGTTAAAATGACGTTGCAGAAATTATGCATGGTAGAATATAGAGCTCATGAGTACTATGCTATCTTTATCAAAATAATGAGCTTCATTGGACCCATGAATGGCCCATGGTCTTTCTTCCTTCCCCAGTACACACACACTTGCTCATAGCAGGTGTTTGATCAATATGAATAAATGAACTAATGAAAGAAAAATGACCTTTTAAGTGCTCATTATTTGCAAAGCACTGTGACAAGTACCAGGGATGCAGATAGTAACTTAATTTTAGCAAGCATATCATCTCATTGCTTTATATATACATACCTCAAATAAGCCTTGCTCCTTATTTTGCTGTACGCAGTTAATAAATGACTGCTGAATGTTGAAGGAGGGCAATTGGAATAAGAAGAAAAAGGCTTATTGTCCCCTGGGTCCCTCCCAAATTAAGGCATGTAATATACATTCAGAAAAAAAACAACCAAAGATTCAAATACGAGTCTCTTTCTTAGCGGTTTGCATGGACTCAAAGACTACTTTCTCAGTTTTGTACAGTAGGGCTAATGAGAAGCTTCATGGTTTGAATTTCCCCTTAGACTGTGATCCAGAGTTGCCAGGGCATTGCTCAGGCAGGATAAGCCAAACACCACAATCACATGCCAAAAAGAAAGGAAGAAAAATCAACCAAGAGGCCAGACCCTAGCTCTTGAAGCAGTGGGTAGAAGTTGGAAAGGGAAAGATCAAGGCTTCCCAAAAGGGAATTCTTCTACACAAGAATCGTTCAGCTTGGAAAGTAATGGGTCCGCATCACTGGGCATGTTCAAGTAGAGCCTAGATGACTGTTTTTTCAGAGTTGTTACAGAGGAGATTGGTGTTCAAAGAGAAACAGGCAAGACCAAATGATCACCGAGATCCCTTGCAGCTACGAGTTTCTGTAATTTTGTTGTTTAGGGCTGCAAAGGCCCTAGTCTAACCTCCTCATTTTAGAATGAAAAAATGACTTGTCTAAGATTACACAAGGTGGTAAATGACAGAGCCAGGATTAGAACCTAGATCTTCTGATGACCATTGTGATGTTTTCCTATAATCATGCCACAATGTGTAAATACTAGCTTATATTTAAATAATATATTGATGTTTACAAAGCACTTTCCTCACAACTATATGAGCTATGTAGTTCAGGTCCTATTATGCCTATTTCACATATGGAGAAGCTGAGGCTCAAAGGAGCTCAATGAGTTGCTCATGGCCACACAACTAGTAAGTGTCAGAATTGAGAGTTGAACCCAGGACACCTGACTTCAAGTCCAAAGCTCCCTTTATTACATCACACTGCCTCCCAGGGCTGAGTGATTTAGTTCAGTCTTCCCGAAATTTCTGAGTAAAAGCAAAATTTATTATAAGGAGATTTCTTTTTTTAACAAAAAAAAAATACTCTTGTCCACTATCCCTATGGTTTTAACCCTGTTGGGGGAGGTGAGGTATGTGTCTGTATTTGCACACAAACACGGGTTTAGGTATGAGGGAAGAGCCTGTAATCTGAACACACCCTCAACTCAGTTAATATGGTCATAGAAGGTCCAGAATTTGATTCACATGAGTTAATGAGGTGCTAAAGCAATGATCTAGATGTGCCTATGTCCTGATCCCTTTATGAGGTGTGAAGACCTGTCTGATTGAAACAAGAAGGGAATGATAGGTTGGCTGAGCAAACAAACTAGCCATACCTAGAAGGCCGTTAATTAGCTAAGCAGGAGGAATTTCAGCAGCTAGAGAATCAGAGAGAGTGCAAAGCAGCAGCTGTCTGGGGGGAGGAGGGAGGAAGGAATTTGACTTTCCTGCCCCTACCGCACAACCACTGTATAGGGGGTGGTTTAAAGGAAAGCCACAGAATCAATAGAAGATATTTTATCCACCAGAGAGCAAAGACATACACTCTCCCGACAGACCTTGTCGCAGAGAGACATTCATTCAAGAGCTGATTCAGTGAATTCAAGGATTCGCCTTTATGAATCACAACCCCTGGCATCTGAGAAGATGGTCAAGCTATGAAAAGGAACAGGCCAGCAGAGATGCTGCACCTAAGGGGAATCTGTATTCAGTCTCTACAGAGAAGCAGGACTTTGAGGTCCTGTAGTACCTGGGCTTATGTTGACTTTGCCCAACTTGTATCCTACATACCCATGTGCCTCACACATGTGTTGTTGAGTTTGGGCCCAGTCTTTCCATGGACACTGTGCATATTTGTGGGAAAGTGCATCTCCAGTTTATTGGGGAACATTTTTATTCCCCAAATACTGCAATTTTTACTATGCCATCTTACTAAATGCCTTTGCTAGGAGCTAATTGGGTCTGCTGGTTTGACTCAATGGTAAGCACACTGGTAAGAGTTCATGAGCAGTAGGATGAGTTCTGGCCCACAGAATTACCCCCAGAAGCCTAAGCTGTGAGTAAGTTAGGGGAGTGAGCCTAGATGGGATGTTACAGAGTGATACAGAACACCCCATGCAATCTATAAGTCCCTCGTGTTTCTGCAATCTTTATAGTGTGGACCCCTACTTCTACCACTTAAAACTGACCAACAAAGGACGCCGATTCCACCAGCTCTTCTGGATGAATGAAGGTTTCCATCAGTATCAGAAGCAAAGAAGGTCAAATGTTTCCACTGACAGTGCACAGGTCTCCAAACCAGATGGCCCCGTGTTTCAGGTCCACCCTGTCAGAATGGAGATGAGCCCAGGCCAAACGTCTGAACTGGTGTTGGAAGGATTTTCTCCTGTTCCTAAGGTAAAAACAAAAGACACACAGTAAAAGTCTTTTACTTTCCTCCCCCAAAAAGCAGCTGTTATGGGGATTTCTTAAGGAAAGTTTAGAAAATTAATTTCTGATTAATTTAATTAATAGTAAAGAAAATCATTTCTTTCAAGGATTGGTTTGGAGCTATGACTTACTACAGCAGCATCAATTACGTTCATTGCTCGGGCCCTGCTGTGGGTCTCCTTGTTTCTATAGCTACCATCAACCCTCCTTTAAAATGTCAATTAAGGAAGTGTGTGACTCCTGGAATAAGCAATCAGTTACTGAATCTTGCAAACTGTTAGGAGGACTCTGGTTGGGGGAACATCTGTTGTTGTATGTCCTTCAATCTCAAAGAGCACCATGACACCAGAGAGGTGATGCCACAAGTTGAGAGTGAATTGGATTTAAGTGAGGCAGAGCTGTGCAAAGTCACCAGCCTCACTTTCTCCTCCAGAGCCATCTCGGTCCAGTGGCCAGATATAGATCAGGACAACTGGAGATGGCCTCCTGGTGGGACATCTAGCTTTTAGTCAAAGCCATTGATCCATCTATTTCTTCTATCATACTTTACTATATAAGATTAAAAGTAATTAAAATGAAGACATTTATTGTGCTATACACACACGTGTATGCGTACACACACGCACACCAAGTTAAAAACTAATACTGATTCACATGTCTATAGCATTCTACTGTACACTAATCACTTTTACTAACAACCCTGACAAATATGTAGGGCAAGCTTTTTTATACCCATTTTACAGATGAAGAAGACAAGGCTAAGGGGCTAAATTCTGTCAAAGAAGAAATACTTGAGTGCAACTTTTAGAAAATATTATTTTGTTATATTTCTCATTCTAGTCAATACCCTTTACTGGTTTGGCTTAGGGATCAGTGGCAGTGAAATGAAAGGCTTATCCAATTCTAGCTATTCTCATCATGTCTCAATCTTGTACACAGGTAGTCAAAGAAAGGCTAGTGTGTTATGCCATCATAGGAGGAAATGTAAGGAAGACACAGATCATGACAGTCAATGTCATCTGCGAGTTCATTGCACCCATTATACAGCTCTCAACAAAGCAGATCATATACCACCTGGAAAAGGTCAGTGCATGGCTTAATGTGTGTGTGTAACAACTGACATCCATCATATTTGTACATAAATTTTTATTTCAGAAAACAAAACAGTAGTAGATTAATACAAAACCTATACTTTGGATTGTTTTGAAGCCTCAATTTTGATAAAACCAAAATTTCATGTCAGAACATACAACCCTCTGGTATGTAAACTCCCACGAAAATTACATTTAGAATATTCTATTGTTGGTGGAAAATAGCAAAATCAAAAGATCCCATGTTCACTAGAAATGTGTTTTTTTCAATCATTTCATCCTTACTAGGTTACAAGATAATGAACACTGGGTAGATTTGCTGTCTGGAATTTTGAAAATTACTCACTCATACTTTTTTGGACGAGTATTGTAGGCTAACCTTCACCTCTTCTTTTGTTGTTGTTCAGTTATGTCCTACTCTTCATGACTCCATTTGGAGTTTTCTTGGCAGAGATACTGGAGTGGTTTGCCATTTCCTTCTCCAGCTCATTTTATGATGAGGAAACTGAGGCAAACAGGGTGAGGCACGCTTGCCCAGAGTCACACAGATAGTAAGGGCTTGAGGCTAGATGGGAGCTCATGTCCTCCTGACTCCAGGCCTGGCACTCTAAACCAATGCTCTATCCAAATGCCCTTTCCATCTTCTACAGAAAGCCTTTCCCAGCCCCTTTTCATGCCAGTGACTTCCCTTTGTTAATTATTTCCTATTTATCCTGTATATAGCTTGCTTTGCACATATTTGTTTGCTTGTTCTTTCCCCCATTAGATTATAAGCTCCTTGAGGTCAGAAAGTGTCTTTTGCTTCTTTTTGTATCCCCAGCCTTAGCATAGTGCCTGGGACACAATAGGGTCTTAATAAATGTTTATGCCCTGCAGAATGGGCAGATGAGAACAATGTGTTCCAATAGCCATGAAGGCTGATGATTCAGGCGATGCAGAGTATTTAGAGTCTGATCAGACATTGAAGATGCCAAGGCCATCCACTACATCCCAGGGCATTGTCAGTCATCCTGACATGTCCTGCCACTGGACTTTGATGACTCTGGAAGAGAGAGGGAGGCTGAGGACTTTGTGCAGCTCTGCCTCACTTAAATATAATTTATCCAGGAGTCAAGACATTACCTATGCTCTCATTGGTCCTCTGAAAACGAAGGACAAATCACATTGAATGGTTGATTGAATTTGGCCTAGTCCAGCAGGTTCACAAGGGGTTTTTTCCCTTTTTAAAAAAATTCAATAGGCACTGGTAAGTCATACAATCTAATTAAAACTATTTTAATAATTGATATAAATATATAATAAAGGAATAGGAAGAACATAAAACACTCCACTTCCAAAGTCACTGAAATACCTACTAAAAGAAGCAAGCTGAAAGCCATTCAAGCTCAGGAAAATATTTGTGACAACCTTCCTCACCCTTAGGCTAGTCTTTTATAATTTAAACCATTGGCTGTGCCACATCAGCCATTGGATTGGCCAGGGGACTGACTGAGCAGAGGGCTGGCCAGGGCCACAATAGGCAAAACAGCCCCAAGAGTTTGCCAAAGATCAGACTACATTCCCCCTCACCCTCAGTAAGGAATACTAAAAGTTTCATCTAAAGCAATATCAAAACAACCCTAAAGTTAGGAGAGGAACTTAAAATAAAAAGAAGACATTAAAAAACCAATGTAAATCAATTTTTAAAGTAGGAAAATTATGTAAAGGTCAATTTATAAAAATCTTTCGGGACAAAATAATCATGAGAGCCAGGGACAGCGCCAGGAACACCAGGTCCAGCAAATGGATGATAATACATCCAGAATTGTCACCAATTCCTGTCACTGGTCTAGACCATTTGATGCCAGACAGTTAAGAAGTCACAAGACTCTCATGGGCAATCTGTCCCAGGGCCTCTATTGATATTAGCATTCAACTTGCCCACCATCCATTTAGTGTTCCAAGGCCTTACCTCCAAAATCTTCACCTTTCCAGAATACATATCAAACCAAATAATACCAAGTTTGGGTCCCATTAGATACTTCTACTGCGGAACTACCATCTTCCTTGGAAGTTGAATTTAAAACTTTTTATCTTCATCCAAAGACTTAAATCCCTATCAAGTAGGTTAAAATATCTTCAAGTAAACTACAATTAAAAAATAAGTTTATGTTTCCCATCCTTGTTTTCTCCATCACTCTTTCCAAGGTCATCCAGATAATAGGTGGCAGAGCTGGGATTCGAGCCCAGGCTGACTCCAAATCTGGGATTCTCTCCACCATGCTGCCCACCACGTGCTCTCTGTGACTGAAACCTCCCGAGTCTTCTTTTCATTCAGGAAATCAATCAGTAGCCAACAAGCATTGCAGCAGTACTTACTTGGTGTAAGGTGCTGTGTCCTAGGCACTGGGGATATGTCCGTATGGGGATATGGGGGGAAGGACACAAATGATGTAGAAGACCAGAAAGGAGACTGAAAAGTATCAGCTCAGTGCTTAGGAGGAAAGCTACAACAGAGAAGCACAAAAAAACTCAGAGAGCAGAGACCATTCAGAGGAAATGGGTGGCCAAGCCATAAAGGTAGTTTGAGAAGGATAAAGATTAAGAAAAGTCTTCTGATTAAGCGATCATTGGAGACCTTGCAGAAAGTAGTTTCTGTTGAATAGTGGATCCAGAAGCTGGACTGAAAGAGGTGGAGACATGAAAGAGGTAGATATATGGATGCAGCAAGCATAGACAGCTTTTCCTAGAAGTTTGACAATGAAAGGAAGGAGAAACCCATGTGAGGTAATTGTAGGGTTAAATGAAAGGGTTTGGGTTTTTTTTGTTTGTTTGTTTTTAGGGATGGAGAAGACCTGGACATGATTGAATGTAGCAGGGAAGAAGTGGACAAGGAGAGGTTGGAAATTAGGTAGAGAGATGGGACAATAGCAGAGGCGAGCTCCCAGACATGGGAGGTCATGGGATCAAAGGCATAAGCAGAGAGATTAGCATTGGCAAGAAGGGCTCTTTCTCTGAGGCTGGCACAAAGGGGAAGAGGATGGAAGGGAGGGCAAGGAGATATAAAGTGGGAACTCAGGCAAGGGAGCTCAGGACAGATGGCCTCGTTTTTTAGTGAAATATGGGGTGCTATCCTTTGGTGGGGCAGGGGAAGGAGTGTGGAATAGGTGGCTTGAGAAAAAGGAGATTGATTTTTTTGTATGTGATTGCTCTATTTGTGGTTGTCCCATTTCTCTTTAAGCATCTGAAAAAGTTACTACCCGTACTGGATGTATTTACTTAGCCTAGCAGCTCCTTAGAGGAGCAAAAATGGCCAGAGCTAAGACTAAAGATACTTCTTCCACTTCTGGGCAGACTAACACCACAAGATGTAAATGAATCTGGGTGCACAGAAACAGAGAGGAGACTATTGCCAACAGCCATACCACCCCTGAATGATATATTTTTCTGAGGTAACTCGGTGGCAGATGGGGGGCACGGTGGATGGAGTCAGGAAGACCCAAGTTTGGGTCCTGCCTTAGATACTTACTGGCTATGTGACCTCGGACAAACTCTTTTACTTCTCTCAGGCTCAGTTCTCTCAGCTATAAAATGGGGAGAATAATAACAGCTACCTCCCAGGTTGCCATGAAGATCAAATAATATATGCATGCCCCGTACTTTGCATTACTTCAAGTATGCACTGATAGCTAGGTGGTACAGTGGGTAAGAGGGCTGGACTGGAATCAGGAAGATAAAATTCAAATCCTGCTTCAGACATTTACTGTGTGACCCTAGACAAGTCACTTAACCTCTGTTTGCCTCAGTTTTTATAACTGAAAAATGGGAATAATAATAACTCCTGCCTCCCAGGGCTGTTGAAAGGATCAAATTAGGTACCATATGTACGGTGCTTTGCCAATGTTAAAGCAGCATATAAAAGGCTAACTATCAATAGAAGCCATATAAATCCTCGCTATCATCATCCTCATCGTTATTAATGCCACCATTATAATCATCATTGTTATTATTTTCTGATATGCATTCTGGCTACATTCTGCTCTTCTCATGGTTGTGGAACTGCACAACAAGAAGTTAGTGAGGAGTTAAAGGGACCCTGTGTCTGCATCAGAACCACGCATGCAATAGACTGCCAATTGTGTGGTGTCCCCAGACTTGGATAAGGCTTACCAGAGGCAGAATAGATACCTTCCTTCCCAGCTTAAATTATTTCAGCCATCCTCTTCTTCTCCAGAGTAATCTCTACTGGCACTGACCAATGAGTAGTGTGTTCCCTGACTACACTCGCCTGTCACCCAGTCTTTCAGTTGTGAGTTGGAGGCTGGCATCTTCATTGGCTTACGCTATGTGGGAACAAAACTTGAGCCTAGTCCAGTCATGCCAGCAGCAGTTTTAGTATGACATAGAAATCCTGGAGGAAGTATTCTGGGTTTGATTGCAACTATCATGTGGGAAATGAGCAACTTTTTCAAGTACTAGAGAGCCACCTGGAGGAAACAGGGTCATCCTAAAAAGAAGTGAGTGTGGTTGTCATCAGAGGATCAGTCAGCATCAGGACTGGTTCCGCACTGGGGTAGTGGACAGAACCAAAGATCAGAAAATTGAAAAGTGTTGTGCGATCTTTATAGCTAAGTAAGGGAAGGATTACTGGTGGTGATATTGAAGATGGAGAAGCCTTGTTATTGGTACCAGTATAGTTGATTAAACCAGCCTATTTCAGGTCAGGGAGATCTGAGTTTAGATACTTCCTAGCTATGTGACCCTGGGCAAGTCATTTAATCTGTTTGCCTCAGTTTCCTCAACTGCAAAACAGGGATAATAGTACCTATCTCCAAGAGTTATTGTGAGAATCAAGAGATAGTATTTGTAAAGCCCTTAGCACGGTACCTAATATGCAATAAGCACTTAATAAATGCTTCCTTCTTTCCTTCCTTCTATGTTCTAGTAGGCTTTCGATGGCTCACAGAGCAATCCAAAAGTATAGAATGAGACCCACGTGAGCATACAAGACAT